CCCCCGCCCCTCCCCCCAGCTACGACTCGCATTCCGGTGGTGAGCGTGAGATCCAGCGCACCATGCTGGAGCTCCTCAACCAGCTGGATGGTTTCGACGCGCGCGGCGATGTCAAGGTCTTGATGGCAACCAATCGCATCGAGTCTCTGGACCCGGCGCTCATTCGCCCGGGCCGTATCGATCGCAAGATCGAGTTCCCTCTGCCCGACATCCGGACCAAGCGCGGCATCTTCAACATCCACACCGCCCGCATGACCCTGGCCCCGGATGTGGACCCGGAGGAGTTGATCACCACCAAGGACGACCTGAGTGGTGCCGATATCAAGGCCGTCTGCACGGAGGCCGGCCTGCTGGCCCTGCGCGACTTCCGCATGCGTGTCACCGCGGCCGACTTCCGTGCCGCCAAGGAGACCGTCATGTACCGCAAGCATGACAACACTCCGGAGGGCATGTACCTGTGAGCAGGAAGAAAAGCGCGTGGAGAGTCCTCCCCCTCCCCCCGGTGTGCATGCACGCCCGCGAGACAAGCCACCGATCGCCGCGCGCGTGCGCGCGCCCCTCCCCTTCTCCCAGGTGTGTGCGTATGTGTGGGATTTGCCTGCCCTCGCTCCGGCTGCCCATCCGAAGGACCGCCTCCTGGTGGGGGAGAGACCACCGCAAAGGCAGAGACAACGGGCGGAGGAGGGGAGGAAGGAAGCACACCTGAGCCTGTGTCCTCCTTTCCCCTCCTCACGCCTCCTCCCCCTAATCTCTGCCTCCGCTCTCCTCGATCACACTCACCGTGCCTGCTGTGGCAGACCCACCCCCCTGTACTTCTAAGAAACAAAAAAAACGATCCCATCTCGCGCCCCCATACGCCGGGCATCTGTCTCACCGACAGGGGAAAAGGGGGGGGAGGAGCCATGGCTCAAGGCAAGGTCTATATTCCACCACGGTCGCCGGATGGGGGAGGCGGCGGCGAAAAAAGGGGCGACGGAGGGGGAGAAAAGGAGGCCCAAGGCAACCCCCCCCCCCCCCTCCGCCATCGGCCGACTCGCGCATGCAATCTATGGCGCGAATGCCAGCGTGCGCAAGCAGGCAGAGGAGGATGGCGCGAGACCGGCTAGTAGCGCTGGCGCTTGGAGAGGCGCCGCTCTCGCTCTTCCTCCTCGGCATCCTCCTCTTGGGCGATGCGCGAGCTTTTGAAGGATGAAGGACAGTCGGGTTAACAAAGAGAGGGCCCCCGACCGAAAGGAAAAGGCAAACCGCAAGGCGAGCGAAGGGGGGGGGGGGGGGGGAAGACAGACAACCGGGGGCAGACGACATACCTCCGACGCTCCTCGCGGCGAATGTCCGCCAGGCCGCTTTCCATCGACCGATCGTCCATCGCATCAAGATGCCGGTACTTGGCGGGGTTGTAGCCGGAGATTTGGCGGATTTGCCGGATGGCCGCGGTGGATTCCTCGTCGTCCTCGTCCGACACAATGAAGTCATCATCATCCTCATCATCCTCATCATAGTCGCTTTGCAGGTCGTCGGAAAAGCGCGACGGGTTGAGGAAGTCCTCATCGGAGTCGTAGCCGGAGGAGCGCCGCGGACGGGGCTTGGGCCGTGGCTGTGCGCGCGCCCGAACCGGTGCCTGAGTACGCCCGGGCGGGGCCGCGCGCGCGGCCAGGTCCGGTCGCCGGGCGCCATATGCCGCCAGATCCGGCCGCCGGGCGCCATACGCCGCCATGCCGGGGCCCGGGCGTCCGGGCATGTGTGTCCGAGCCGGGGCATTTGAGCCGCCAGACATCGGCGGAGTGCCGGAGGCTGGCGGCGCGGGCCGATCGGGCCCACCGGCGGCCGAGGAACGCCGGTCGCCTGGTGGCCCGGCTCCCGCCGGGGGAGGCCCACGACCGGCCGCGGGGGCCGCCGAGGCAGCTGCCCGACCAGGAGGAGGTGTCCCGCGCGAGGGGGGCGGTGCGCTGTTGGCCAATGTCGGTCGTGAGCCGGGGGAAGCGCCGGTCCCGCCGGGAGCCGGCCGAGCGCCAAAGGCCACAGGGACTGGCGGGGCTGCCGGCCGGGGCCGGGGGCGTGCATCCGCCGGCCGCCCGGTGCCGGTTTTCGGCGCCACATACACCGGCCGATCGAGGCTGGCATTCAGGGTCGACGTCGACTCGAGCGAGGACTTGGTGTTGGCCAGGGCCCGGCGCATCTTCTCTTGGAAGCTGAGCTTCGGTGCCGGGGGAGCATTTGCCGGGCTAGGGCGCTCTGCACGCGGCCTGGGTGGGGAGATCCGAGCCGACTCGGCGCCGGTGCCCCGCGCCCCGCGCGCGGAAGAGGACGACGACGAGGACGCCCGATCGCCGGATCGAGCGCCACCCGAACGCCGGGCGCCAGACGCAGAGGCCAGGGTCTTTCGGTGGCGTTCATTCGCCTGCGCCTGCTCCTCGGCCTGGAGAATGTTCTTCCGGATGGCGAGCAGCCGTGTGCGCTCCGTCTCGCGGACCTGTTCCTGGATCTGTTTGATGATGTCTGCATGGATCACAGGGAGGCCCCGGGGCGAGGAAGGGAGGAGTGCAGGAGGGGGAGGGGGGAGGGGGGGGGGGGTTAAAAAGCGCGAGACGTACGACGGGTGAGCAAAAGGCAGGGCGATGGGCGAAGATGGCAGACAAACGCACGCTCAGGCAGCGGAGAGCCGGAAGACTGGGGTGGCAGGCAAACGGCAAACATGCGACGGCAAGGCCCCAGGGGACAATGTCAGCACTGGGCACCCATGGGAACCGGCGACAGCAGGGCATACTGGCACAACATACCGGGTTGGTCATGGCGGGCAACAGGGGCTATTGTACTCCGGCGGCCGAAGAGGGAAATCCGCGCGACGCCGGCCGAGATCTGACCTTGGGGAAGAGGAGGTGGACAGGGGCACAGACACCGGAAGAGGA